CCCGGGGAAGGCCCAGGACACGCTGGAGGGACTATGTCTTTCGGCTGGCCTGGGAACGCCCCGGCATTCCCCCGGAGGAGCTGGAGGAAATGTTTGGAGAGAGGGAAGTCTGGGCATCTTTGCTTAGACTGCTGCCCCCGTGACCCGGTCCCGGATAAGCGGAGGAAAATGGATGGATGGATGGATATAATTAGGAAAGGTGCACACCTGTTTATATAATGTCTCATAGTTGATGGTGTATGTCAGAATGAAAACAAAGCCATGAGGTTGAAAGACCCATGAGACAGGACTGTGTGCATGCTTTGTATATCTACATGAACATACAGAACAACTGTGTCAGGATCAGCTTCTCTGGTGGGTGGTGTAAGCTGGAGCTCCTCCTTCCCTCATCCTATGCTGGAGATGTCCTCAATCACTACTCGCTTGCAGAAATACTTCAACCCTGGGCCTTCCTTCCAACTCTGCCAGATCTTACAGTCACCCGCTGTGCTTTTGATATCTTGTGTAACTAATTGATTTTCTTTATGCTAACAGTATTTTCCTATGTTCTGGTCCCCTGGTGAGCCATCCTCTCACTGGGCTCTCAAGCGATTCTCCTGCCTGACACTCTGGTCTCTCCCCATGGAGTTGCAAGTTGACCTACTCATGTCTCTCTCCAACTTGTACACCTGCACTCCACCTGCCTGCCTACTCTCCCTGTGCTTGCCAGTTCACCTCCTGAAGATTCTGCTCATCAGCCTGCTCCCACCTTTAACAACCTCTGCTCACTTAAGTTTGGAAAAAAAGAACCATAATTATCTGTATATGATTCCGTCTTGTTTTTGGATTTGGCCAAGTTGCGGACCCAGCAGACGCAGACTCAGTTCATAAGGCTCTTACTAACCAGGGTGCTCTAATCATGCCCTCCAGACTCTCAATCAACAGCTTGTTCAATTGCAAAGTATGTTACAAATGTTTACTACTCACTCTGCTCCACTTCTCTCCACAGCTCCTTCCTGCTTTTCATCTACACTGTGGGCAGCCACGCTCCACAGGGAGACACTGGTGCCCCTGACAGAACCATACAATGGCGATATGGGTAGATGTCGGGACTTCCTGCTGCAGTGCTTTCTGGTGTTCGACTGGCAGCCCTTTACCTTTGCTTCAGAATGTTAAAAAGTATGCTATGTCATGGCTCTCCTCAGAGGGAGAGCACTGGATTGGGCTGAAGCAGCTCTAAGCAAGAAAGGTAACCAGTCACTCTCTTATTCTGAGTTTGTGGAGGAGTTTATAAAGGTGTTTGACTATCCATGCTGGTGACACAGCAAAAAGGCTATTGAACCTACTGAGTTCTGCATCCTACCAGCTGACACTGGATCAAGTAAAGGATGAAGTAGCTCTTTGTAATGATAGTAACTCTATCGATGCACTTGTATTTGTGTGTTACATACTATATATTAAGTTAGACAAACACCTAAAGGACAGGTGACGTAAAAGAAACTACAGATCCCATTGTGCTGCCACCTCCTCTCCTTATGCTCGATGTACTGGACATTGCATGTGCAAAATGTGACATCAACAGGGAGACAAAACCATTTACACTTGCACTTGAGGCAAATTTGATTTGCTGCAGTCTTCTCCCAAACAACAGGTATTGCGGCTGAGAAAAACACAATTGACACCACTGGAATAGCAATGGAAGAGGTAATCTACAGGAAATATGTCCTGTAGCTAACTAGCCAGCTAGATATCCAGCAGATATTGAACCTACAGTATATCTGAATAAAGTTGAATGAATGCTTGTGTGGTAGGCAATGTGTTGTAGCTAGCTAGCTCCCTATCTAGCCAGCATGCCAATCCATAGATGTTTATATAGGGTCATATAGGGACTGACCTGCTCACACACTCTTGTCCCCAGCTCATCCATTACGTGCTTTTTCAATTGGAAGGTGCACGAACAGCTAAAACAACACCAATGTGTACTGCGTGGCAGCAGTTGTGATATCATATTTAGCACATGCCCTCTGGTGCACGGGCAAGAATGGCAAGTATAAACTAAGTGAAACACCAATGTTCCGCCAGCTACAGAACCTCTTCTAGGGACAAGAGGGAAGAGCCTATGCAGTTAGGCAGAGCTCGCCTAACTCCAGCAGAATGTAACAGAAGATTCTAAGCCGGTGACAAAAAGGACATTTTCTTGCCACTTCTCCCTGTATGACAAAAGAGACCGCTCATCAGTAGCTGTAGGGGCACTAGGGGTCAAAACTAATACACCCTACAATGACCTGCTAAGATTTCAGTTTCAGCCAGTTTCAACCTCCCATTGTCAGCATTAGTGGTTTCAGGAGTAGAAACATTTCATGGACATAGATTTGGTTGCACAAGATGGTGTCCCTGTGAAGCTGCAAAATGAGACTCTGAGAGTGAATTTGATTAATAGAGGCTTACTGACCAACAGGATGTTACTCACATGATTGACCCAGTTGTTGCCATCTTTTCAGTAAACACAGTGAGTATCTCCAGTTCTTTGTTTCCTTACCACATGTACCTTTGATTTTGGGTTTTTCATGGCTAAAATTTCATAACCCACAGTTAGATTAGTCATCAGGTAGGGTCAATAATTTGAGTCCCTATTGTCATTCATCCTGTTTGAAGCCTCCACCAGCAGGTGGATCCAGTGCTCCAACCTTCTTGTCCTCACTAGATTTCCCTATTCCTTCTATTTACCATGAATTAGGTGATGTCTTCTGCAAGGAGAAGGCCCTTTCATTACCCCTTCACAGATCATATGACTGCGTCATTGAACTGCTGCCTGGTGCCACATTGCCCACCAGCCGACTATACAATCTGTCTGGTCAAGAGAGACAAGTTATGGAAAAATATGTACGTGACTAACTC